AAATGTTAAATAAAGCTAACGACTTCAAATTTGGCAGAAACAATGGAAGTTCTTGCACGCAGGTTTCTACTGAAAATGAATCAAATCGGTCGAAGGACACGCCTACAATACTATAGAAAATGAGGACACCTCTGTTTTTCCTTACTCATAAACTATAGCAAATACATGTACAAAATATTGAACGCATGTTCTATGGGTTATCCTGTAACATCTGTGCAAAAGAAATGTAAAAATAATTGACCACTACTACCCAATATTATTGTGTATCAAAATTTAATTATTTTTTTCAATACTTTTATAACACACAGAAACAAAGTGCAAAAACTCCATAAAGTACACAAATTCTTGGCCAAGTTCAAGTTTCAACTTTTTAATGTTTACGACATTGAGACGACAAGCCACATTTACGGGCGAACCGAAATTACATTTGACTGTATGATGTAAATTACGTATACTTTAAGAATGAAAGAAACTAAATGACAGAAACCCGACCGTTTTCTTTGAAACCCAAAACAAATTAATTTAAACGATATATATTTAATATGAAGTCTTACAGCATTTTTTTTATTTATCAAGTAGAGATCAGAACTTTGTGAATTCGTATTGGAAAGACACACAATAATTGCAAACGAACCTCGGGGTTTACCCATTAACTGTATTTAAGACGCTTTGAATATCAAGCGGGGAGCGGGAAACATATAAAGTTCGCATCAGTGTTAATCACCTTCTGATTACTTTCATTTAAAAATAAAGCCTAATTAAAAAGTCTTTAGAAGATTTACATACGTACATGAACATGCAAAAACTGTGAACGAGTCCATTTCCATTTTTCTTTCCATGTTCATGTATAGCGTACGGTGTATGTATGTATACATGCGAAATTGGACAAAAAGTTGAAAACATGTATGACTCTGTGAGAACTAAAATCGTACTTCATTTTGGTCCCACACCACGTTAGTTAATAAGTTGGAATAAGTATCTTCCTACTAAATCTATCATGTAAAGTTTAGTGATGGTCGGAGTACCCTAATGATATCATACCATAACCAACCATGACGAACAGAGTTCAGGATGAGACAGTCCTATCTCGATTTCCGGAATGATTAGCTCGAATAGAGGAAGAAATCAATTTAAAATTTCCGCTCTGTATCTCTTGTGCGAAAGATCAACCGAGATAGACGTGTCTAAGTAATGAGATCCCCTCCTATGCGCTTCAACCGAATTTTATCAATTGTCATTACTATGAATCAAGTGGAATAATAAGAACTGCTAAGAGTTGAGAGTATTAATAAAATAATAAAGATCATTAACTGAAAATAATGTGCCCAGTTGTACTTCACTAGTATAGAATAAAAAATCTAAACAGTTTATAAAACAACGCTCAGCACTAAATCTGTCCTCATCTAACAGCTCCATACAGCTCTGATAATAGTAAGTCACAATTTTCAGTGGGGCTGCAAGATCAAAGAAATGCTCTTGGGAGGAACAGTTGGTAAACCGATGAATTTACCCCGATAAACGCATTTTGAATCTCTTTCAAAACTTGAAATATTAATTAAACTCAAATACAAATGCATGGCATAACCATTACAATAAAATCGCGTCTTTCTTTCTGCCTCTATATACGACTTTTAATATATATCTTCTAAATGCTATATGGTTTTGTGTGGATTATACATACATTATTACGAAGAATACCAATGGAACTTCGCATCGTGCAACACTGCGGCCTTACACTGGAGACCCCTGTTAGTGATCTACTCAACAAACAGATGCGAAACTAACTAGAGGCATTACGCTCGCACAGAATTCTTAGACGTGAAGATCCGTTTTCATAGACGTTTCTCTAGAAGAGCAAACTTTTCGCAGTCGCTAAGTGAAAGAGAAACGGTCCGCTTGACCGCTTTTTCTTCAATGCAATACATCGAAATGTTGTCAATCTCTTGAGATGATTCAAACCGTTGCTTGACTTACAAAACAAACAATGCAAACAATGCAAACAATTACTGTGATAACGATTTTATAGATGTAATAAAATATCATCCGACCCAATACCTTCTTGACGGTTGTCAAATAACAGGAAGTGAATGCAAAAACTTTAAATAAAGTTTCTTGTTTTTAGAACTGCTTTCCTTTAGTATTTTATTAAAGTTTGAAACGCGCTGCTTCATGCTCTGCAATTAATCGTCTTTTCCTCTATCCTCTTGATGAGGTCTACAGGTTTGAGAACAGCTTGTGAGCCACCATACAAAATAACTGATGGCGATAATATTTTCTGTAAATTTTTCAATTTAGTTTTAGTTCCAGTTTAGGGAAATGCGATCCTTACTTTTTTGCATTCCTTTCTATGACAGGTTGCAGCTGCAGCGCAAACACTGTTTTGCTCCTGGCATTCTTCAAGTGGTTTTGTAAGTTTAAGAAAAGACTCGACACTGTTTTTTTCACAGTTTTCTCACACACATCACACACTTCTTTCCGTATGCCCATTTCCGAACCCACGCTTTCCACGCCACCAAGCCACCAAAGAGCTTCAAATTGAATTTTAGTTAGCTGTGTTCATTAAATTTCGGTTTAAATTCACCCATATATATATAAACAGATATCAAGAGTAATCTCACCTTTTAAGTTGCCAAGGATCTTACATTGTATCACATTTTCTGACTCATTAGAGGATTGCAGTTTAAGTTCATCTAGGACTGGACATATCTCAGTAGGTTTCAAAACATCTTTTCGTTTAGCCGACCTACTCGTACTCTCCATCATATTGAAATTAATCTGTAGTCTTGGAATTTATCTAAACTCAATTTTACAGAGTCTCACGAAGTCTGCAAATTGATATAATTTGCGTTTAGTTAAAGTAACTTAGAAGAATTGCAACTTTTTTCCTAATTTCCTTGAATGGAAAAACCGAGTTCAAAGACTCTGGACGACGCTCCAAATTGCTATCAACATTTCTGATTAAATCATTATAGGATCATAGAGAGCCCACTTATACGTTCTCGTCTTACAATAGTTTTTTGAGTCAATTAAGAAAATTCACTGATTATTTTGTGGAGAAAGCGAACGTACGTGGCCGCGTTGGTAATTGACATTCTTATCTACTGGGCTAGGTCGAGGTTATTTGTCAAGAACTTACGATTTAAAGCGATTTTTGGAAATCCAATCGCAATTTCTTCTTCCATCGCACACTTTTCGTACTAACTACTCTTACCATTTTCTTAAAGGTGTACAGTTGTGTGTATTTACGGTTCCATGTGTTTCCGTTTATATTGTTTGATAATAATTATTTTATTTATATTATAGTGCAGGTAGATAGTGAAAATACAATACAATTACAATATGTCGAAATGCCTAAATGGCTAATTAGTCCCACCCTCTCCTGTTCAATTTTATGGAAATTTATCTACGCATGTTCGAATTTAGTTCTTGATGGCATCGTCACAAATTTTAATGCTTCAAAGAGTCCATTTTTGTTTGAAAATATTGGGTTATACGCATCAATGAAAACAATCTTTAGACGAAATTTTTTTTTTTTTTTCTTCTGAACACAATGTGAGTATGTGTAATTGATGTGAGTATGTGTAAATAAAAATACCGATTGGTATACAGATGTTCTCTTCTTACTTCTCTTCTCACTAGCCAAACAAACAAGTCTCTTTGTGACGAAGAATTGCAGCCATTGTTTCTCTTTGATGGCCTCCATTGTTTTTGTAAGCAATAAAAAAAAAAAAAGAAATACCAACCAATGCGCATGCGTTGTTATTTTTGGCTAATGTTCATACTTGGAACGCAAGCCATTTTTTAAAAAGAGCAGACATTGTGGTATGGGTAGGAAATTCGTGATGGTGGTCAGGTGGTTTCTTACGGAAAATGCTATTGGGAAAGAATATTTTGCAAAAATGGTACGTATATGACATTTAGATATGTATGTAGTATATCTATGTGTGTGGGGCAATGTAAGAAGAAATGTGGGAAGAAGAGTTTGTGTGTGTTAGCAAGATTATTTTGTGGTGTTTATGGTAGTGATGATTGTGGAATACTGGATTTGAAGTTAATCAGAAATGAACGGGAGAGACTATATTAAATCAATGCAGATTCCGAGTACACTTTGTCATATTTTCATGCCCGTCGGTCTGTTCTGTAGGCCTGCTGCTGTTACACATCATCCATTCGTAAAATGTCGTACTTGAGTATCGCAGACTAAGATCAGAAATCTAACTGATCTACTTTCAGACATCATTGAACGCATTGAACAAAAAACGTTTACGATTATGAAAGTGTAACGTATCTCAAATGTACACCAAGGCCAACCCCATTTTGATTGTTTTCATTGATTTCACCTCAGGGCTTTTTAACTCATTTTCTTTTGATTTTTTCAAGGTGTTCTTTGTTCTTTGCTTCTTTTGAATAGTCTTTTATTACTCCCCCTGAATTATTGTTAACGTGTGGAAAGCATACTTCGACTCTCATATGTCCATTTACTCATGGTTTGATTGGCTAGCTTTTGCGTTAGTTATATGAAAACATTTGTTATTCTCCCTCATGTCATGTATAATAAATTAACGGCTACTGGCCCTGGGCTCAGTTTATATTTATCTACCTTGCAAACTGTTACGTTTCTAAGAAGCGAACCGTTCAACTAAAGCGAAATGGTAAGGAATTCTGGAGCAAAACCTATGGTTTTGATGGACTTCTTCAAAATTCCTTTCTGGCTGTTTCAAGTGTATGGAGTGTGCTTGTATCGAACATCATCGAAAGAACGCCTTTCCCTACAGGAGTCGATCGCATTTGCAATTTCAATGATACAGATTGGCGTTTATTCAATACTTGTACCAATGTTTTTCATCAAGACAACCCCTCAGACACCAGCAGAGTTCGCAGATACTGCGGTAACGCTAATCGTTTTTTTTACTGCTGTCGTTCGGTTCGTTTGTATCTTTTCGAATACTAAACGCGTAAAAATACTTGTTGATGTACTTCAAAAATATTTTCCACAAAATATGGAGGAGCAGAAGAGCTTTGAAGTGGAAACAAATTATGAGGAATTGATTCGAGTCACCAAAGCGTTATCAATATGTTTATGTGTCGGCGTCATCTTATTCAACGTGGCACCATTATTCAACTTTATGATGACCTCCTATACTACCGATGATGAAGTTAAGTTTGACTATAAGCTGCCCTATCCTGTATGGTATCCTTTCAAAGTGAACACTCCTGGCATGTATGCAATGATAGTTTTGACTCAAGGGTTTGCTGCTTTTTCGTGTCTGGTTGCATATTTCGTTCCACATATGGTACTGATTACGTCCATGTTGTTGATAAATATGAATTTCAGGTATTTAGCAAAAAGGGTTCGAAACTTAACCCCAACAAATACGGAAGATGATATCAAAAATCTGAGGAAAATTTTAGGCCGCCATCAGGATATATATCTGTGGGTTAAATCTGTATTTTGATTTTATTTTGCAATGGTTATCTTACTATTTTTACAGAGTAGTCGATGTTACGAACGAAATTTTTAATGTTTCGGTGTTTATAAGTTTCTTCAGTTTGGTAGCACTGCTATGCTCAATCGGGATGAATATGCTCGGCGAATTTCAACTTTATGATATCATAAGGCAGAGTTTGCTACTGGTGTCGTCTTTATGTGACCTATACTACGTGTGTAAATATGCTGATGATATGAAAACATCGGTAAGCAACATATGGTGAAATATTGTCTATCGAGTATTAACGACTCTCTTAGTCCATTTTACTGCCCGCCATACTAACGAACTTCGTATTCGTCAACACGCTACTAGAATTTACCTAAGGAAACCTAAAACAGAATATGTTTGTCCTTTTGTCCTTCTGCCCAACTGCATAATATCTGTGATAAGCGTTCTCCAGTTCGTGAGAATGTGGATATCGTTTCGAATCGACGTCGATGTCGAAAGCCATGCTGAGTAATAATTCGCTTAAACAATTTAGGAAAGACAGTTAACTTGGCGATGCCTCTATAGTTCTCAACGTGATGTCCGTTTCCACATTTGTGAATTGGAATAACGAGACTACTTTTCCAACACGAAGGGAAAGCCCCTGATTTCAAGGACTGATTAAAAATCATTGAAATCCACCGCATAGCTCGACAGAGCATAATTTAAGTAGACATGACCGAATCTCGTCAGGTCCAGGCGCACAATTATAGTTTAGAGACCTTAAACAATCATTTTCTGAAATGACCAGAAAATCAGAAATCAAAACCGAGTTAGATGTCGGATACGGATACCTGACATTTCGTTGAAAGTATTCAGCAGAGAGAATCGAGTTTTTAATATCATCAGAGGACTAAGAGCGATTGAAAGAAATATGCAAGGGATACATGAAGAAGCGGGCACCTGCCTCAAGGGCGTGGTTGGTTGATCGGAAAGCTTGCAGAAACTGCCAGGTTTAATACATTATAGAACGAAGATAGTAAGCTCTCCAACAGAGAAGTCAAGCATAACGTCTGAAAAATGAGGAGGATATTGGATTCGGCATGCCGTGAGAGTTCAAAAGACCACCGTACTTGTAAAAGCAGGACATACGAATTACTGGATGATAAGGATCCTTAGGTAAATTAAAGGATAGACAGCGATTTACAACTACGTCCGGGATATTGGCAAAGCATCCCTACTATGAACAATGGAATTTGCAGGTACAGAGTTTGAGTTGGCGAAAATATAGCGGGGGTGACCACACTTGGTCGAGCAGCTTTAGCGACTTGCCCAGCATTGTGTCCAGCAGACACCCCCGAACAGCTAAGCGGAGAGGCGGACTTGTTAGTTTTGTTAATATTTTTCGGACATGTACACAGAATAGCTTGAATGGCTGGGAGGAGACACACTTGCCACTTCAACATACGTAAAACGGGGCGGCTTCCCAACTTATTTGGAACGTTTTTATTAGCGGCCAACTCATCGATATCGGAAACGCGAACGTTCTTTGTTGGCAACGAGGTAGGTGTAAGGGGTGAAGTACCACGCGCTACAATACGAGTGGGTCTGAATGCTCCAGATAGCAACACTCATTGAACATTGGTTTGATTTTTTCAAATTTCCCACACAAAATACGAAGACTTTTACTTAGTACATTCCTTGTCACCGTGAACAGCTTATAAAAGTCAATATCCCGCGGGACATGACCAACGTAAACCCTTCGAAGGATAAAGGACTGCGTCTGTAGCACAGCCATTGGTACCTGCACACTACGCAAGGCAAATCGTTCGCAAAGCTAACAGGTAATGAATCGTTCAGATAGTAACAGACGTCAAAAAGTAACAGACAAGAGATTGAAGAAGGAAGAGAGGGAGATTGATTGTAGAAAACAAAAGTACAAAAGCTTGTCTCGCACACAAAAATGATCTCTCAAATTAAACGTAAGCTTCGCCCTACTAAAGACACAGTAAATAAAGAACAAGCGAAGAGAAGAAACTGTAAACAAGCAAAAAAGAAAAACAACAAGCAAGAGATTTATTTATTTTTTTTAATTTTTTTTTTTTTTGTTAATTTAAACGCTTTTTATTTTTATACCTTATTATTGTTTAAAAGCGTATACAGGTAGCAATAAGCAATAAGATAAGGAAAAGAAATTGAAAAATTTCTTCGCACAATGTTCTACAGTACGACCACAACAGGCGCGCAGAGTTGCCAAACTAAAAAGTAACCAAAACTGCCCCGCCTACTCCATGTTATAGAACATGAAAATGTAGTTCTTTTATTATTTTTTTTTTTTTCTTTTAATGGATAACAGTGATGGGTGTAAAAGGTAACGAATTTAATTTTCTCACTTCTTATATTTCGCTTTCATTTGCATGTAGAGCCTGGATATGAGTGATGCGTTAGCCGAGCATCCTTGGTACAACGGCAGCGTATATTACCAACGCATGTTATTATTTCCCATGGCCAGAGCACAGAAGCCAGCCAGATTGATGGCTTATAAATTTTTCGCCGTCTCAATGGAAAGTTTTCAATCGGTAAATACAAATTGCATACCTAACCTCTATTGGGTATAATATTTCCTTACCTCGTCGCAGGTACTAACGAAATCATATCAGTTGCTCACACTAATTAAAGCTCGCTTTGACGTGGAATGAGTACAATGCTACGCTACTTTTATTCACATCAAAATGAATTTTATTATCGCAAAGTAGAGGAAAAGAATTTAGTACAAATTCACAGCACCCTCCAAATATTAATGATTACTTCATATTTAAATTGAAATATTTCTGAAAACAAAGAGTTTTATTTGAACGTTTTCTCATCAAATTTCGAAGGTTTTTCCACAACTGCTAAAGACTCAATAGCTTTATCAATGTAAGATTCTGCAACATCTGTCCGTTAACACGAACATGATAATTTCACTAAATCTATAAAATTGTTATCAGAGGTACTCTTCGTCTTCCTCTTCTATTCAGCAAATCAACAAGCGAAAACTTGTTGAGTTGTGTAAAAAAGGCCCACTGTGAACACAGAGTTCTTTGCTTGGACCTTAGTGAGTTTCGGGTTTGATTTGATATATAATTTAATTATTTATTTATTTAGTGTTGTTTGATTAAACTCTTGTGAACTTTGCTCGTTATTCGTCCGCATATTACTTGTTCGCCACGTAGGATAGAAGTAGGAGTAAAGGAGTAAATTCCGTTGTGTAAGAAGTAATGTAATACGTGAGTATAAAGTGTCATAGGCAGGAATCGATGAGTGTGAGAGGAAAAAATGTAAAAGAGAATAGATTCATAATTACACGGTAAATGCTGTCGTCGCGAAGACCACATATACTCAATATGCGAAGTGCGAAATGACAAATAGAAGAACATTCACACAAACAAATAGAGTATGATCAGGAGATTGTAAGACTTTACATGTACATAAATAATTATTCGCTATGTCAATTTTGAATGATGATCATTGCATCTCGTGGATTGAACATCAGCCTGTTGATAAGGCAGATATTTTACCGTCTGAATCCGCAATTATTTAAGCAAACAGTTTTATTCATATGTGGAAATGAAGAGTATAAGTCGACGACCATAAGATGAATTATTCCATCGCTGTTGCCAAGAAAGAACTGAATGTTCTTTGTCGATTGCCTTAAAACCTGCAGAAATTAGAATTGTGCCACCAGGAGTCAGACAAAGGCATTTCCATTGGATTCTGCAACATTTCAGAAGGTTCTTATTTGAAATGTCCAATAAGAGCGAACAATCGTATTCTAATTTTGGCATGAGTAAGCCAAAATACGGTTGGAACCACAAAAAAAAACACAAATGAATTTTCATACCTTAATGAGTTCAAAACATTGTTTGGCAATTTTGTACAATGTGAGCTGCAGAAGAAAGTTTCTAGCGTAGAACATAACCTAAAAAGTCAAAAGCCTTAACGAACGGAATAGGAGAACCATACATAAGCACCGGAGTAACCGTGGGGTCTCTCCTTTCTTTTGAAAAGACCACGTATTCGAGATGAGAGGAAATAGCATTGAGGGCAAATTGCAGCGTACGCCTACATAAATCGGGATTGGAACTAAAAATGACAAGATCGTCAGCCTAACCCAAAATTAAGATATTCTCAGGAAGGAAACTGAAAATTCAGTTAATATATAAATTAAAACAAAAAGGACTCAATACACTTCTGTAAAAGATTTGTTTCGTACAAGAACATCATCGTTTTTAATTACCGTGTTCTTATAGAGGAAGAGGTCATATAGTAAATCAGAGAATTTAGAAGATTCGAAGAGAGAAGAGTGAAGTTGAAGATGTCAATATTGACAGAATCAAGTTGTTGAAGTTATGTCCAGAAAGCAAGCAATGAGAATATAGCTCTTAGCCAACACTGAGTTCATTGCTGACCGCAAAGTAGCAATATTGTCTTGGACAGACCTGTAACGTTTACAACCAAATTGAAAATTGCTGCGGATACATTTAGACTCGCGATACCATTCTAAACGCGGATATAACACTTCCTCGAAAATTTCTCTAACGGAGAACACTAAGGCCACACATATGTAGGAATTAATATTAGTTGTCAAATTATTTCATTTTTCTGAAAGTGAAGATTTGGAAGTCGTACCAAGAAGAGCGTATAAAATCGGTGTTTAGAAAATTGTTAAATTCTTTTAGTAGAATTAATTTGTTTTCGATATTCAACCATTTGAGATGATTGTTACGATTACCATCTAAGCTAGGAGATGAGTGTTTCGAGAGACTCATCTTTAAGCTTTATCGAGCTCAGAGCTCGTTATGTCATTTAAGAAAAAATTATCACATTCCTCATCAAGTGATACAGAGGGGATTGTAGGACCAGAAGGTCCAGCAACCTTCTCACAGGACTAAGCTATGAGCAAGCGATACCTCTAAAAATGCTCACATTTTCATAGAATTATTTCCAGGTTGAGAGTGTACGTGTACTCCATTCTAACATCGACCAAGAATTTGAACTTTAGTCTAGAAGGAGATCATTTGCATTTATTTATGATGAGGGTATGATTTTTTAGCAGCGTTTCGGCTCAAAGCATTAATGAAAGACTTTGCAATAACCCAAAGAGTCACTGAAGTCTATAGTATTTGAAATATTACGGATAGTATTGTTAAGTAAAGACTGAAAATCAATTTCGATTAGACAGTGAGAACAGCGTAAGGTGCTGATAAGGAGGTATACAGATCGAAAGAATTAAGCAGGAAGAGACAGAACCGAAATGGGTAGGATTAGCTTTATTTAGCGGGACTAAATTGCTGCCTTCAAGAAAATAATGAATTTGTCTGCCTCTTGAATTGGAGAAGCGACTACCCTAACCCACATTGTGAGCTTTAAAATCAGCATATATTAAACCAGACATTTTGGATCTGAAAGATAATGAACTGTTAACTGCAGTATCAGAAATTTTACAATTAGATGGAACTTATGATCACAGGCTCCCCAAAGGAAGTGTGAATGGCACAGCTACAAACTTCAATAGGTGAATAATTTGCAAAATTAGAAGCGTAAGAAAATAAAAGTTTATCAGATATAAGAATCGTCTTATGCCTTTTCTTAACTTTTTATTTTGTTGTAATTTTTTTTTTTTTTTTTTTTTTTAATTTATAATTAACAATATTCAAAAGAATTCTTGAAATTTCTACTATTTGGCAGATTTACGCAAGGGATTACATTACAGTTCTTTACCTTTCTAGATAGCGTTATAGAGAATCGGCGATTCGATCCGGCGGGAAGTGGAAGTGTCCCCTTCTTCTTGTTGATAGCTCGGTTCGAATACGATTGGCATTGCCAATCGTTTAACTAATGTCGGCTGACATATTTCGAATGCCGTAGTCCCATCCCGCCTCATTTCAGTAAAAGTACAACTACAGTAAATAATAAAATTATAACGTATGCCTATGTAGAGGGTCAAGCAAGAGGGTCATGAAAATGAGGGATTACGTTAAGCATATAAGTCTTTGATCAGCAACACTTTCCGAATCTATTTTGTCATATCTTTCTATTCATTTGTCTGTAGGCTTAACGCAGTTATATATTACGCGGTTGAGGTGGAAAACATACAAGACTCACGTCAATTTCTCATCGATTTCATTCACTTCACCTCAATGATTTTTAACTCTTTTTCTTGTTTGTTTGTTTGTTTCAAGGTCCCATTTTTCCACTTTAATTATTATACCTATTGCATCATCTCTCCTTTTGACTTATTATTAATGTGTGGGAATTGTACTACGACTCACATGTGTTCATTTACTCATCTCGCTATATACGTGATATTCTCAAAGAAATTTTATACCAATGTCGTAACAGTAGCACATTTATTCAAAACCTACTTTGGACTAAGCAATAAGTTAAAATTTTTAAAGCGGAATGCATATCAAAGGCTTACTTAAGTCGCAAAATATTGCGGAGGTAATCACGTGAAAAAAGATTAGCTTTCGCTGTTGTTTTCAGCTAATCAAAAAATATATAAGCGAAAGCCAACCTTGGGCTACGCGATTAGTTCCCAGCTCGGGGCGATATCGAAAGATTGAATAACATCTTCAACTACAACTCGAGATTAAGGAAGGCTTTGTTAAATTTTAACCCACACAACTTCATGCTAACTGAATGCCTGGATAAAAAAATTTGCAAACGATAAGTGAAGCAGACAAAACGACATCTTCAACGCACTACGTAACTGCTTCCCTATAAAAAAAAAAAATATAAAAAAGTGAGAGGATCATTCTCAAAGAGGTCTTGAAAGATTTCTAAATAAAAATTCCTCCATAAACAGTTTAAGCAAATGGCGTATTATTATAAGCTGAAATATTTGAAGATACGAGTAGCACTAAATACTATATCTAATTAGGGGATATGCGATCAATACATATGCCCGAACTATCAGATAAGCTTATTCCTCGTGGTGAAAGCCTCAACAATAGATACAGAGAAGCTTCTATTAGAGCAAACGTCTATTTAAAAAATAGTGTCAAATACCCGGCACATCCGGTTATATTACATGTAGAACATGTATACAGATTACGAAGCCGGTTTCCATCTTCAATAGAAAAATCAATTCTTTGCAAGCGGGATATAATAGAAAGATATTCTCAAGTCGTGTAGTACATTTGTTATTGAGCAACCTAAACATATAATTGGAGAACGTAACAAAATACGTGAAAACAAATGAAGCAAGAATTGTGAAAAGCGATAGAAGAAAAAACAAGCCGCAACTGTGCTGCAAGTGATTGAAAAAGGGGAAAAATTTTAACTTGCATGTTCTACTATAATACTAGGTGGACGGGCCAGGTTTGAGTTTTTAAAGTTGATATTCTTCTAGAATAATTTTCGGGAAATTTATATCTTGTATCTCTCGTAATCTGTGAGCAACGAGAAAAAGACTCGAAAAGCAGAAGTGTTCTTAGCTTTGTTTGCTTCGGCGCAGGGGCATTGCAGACGTGTTCGTTGACCTCCTTACGCCATTTGTAAAGTTTTTCACAAATTTATAGGCGATATCTTCACTTTTATTAACAGGAGAATATTTACCACAGATATTGCACAGTTGAGCAGACGGACAGACGAACAAATGGGCAAGCTTGTAGCTGCCCGTTATAAAGGTGTTGGAAAGGTGCCGAAAAAAAACTTATATTTTGATACTCTATTATATTGAGTAAATATGGTCAATTTTTTTCCATTTTTCTTCAGATATCACACCATCACCCATAGAAAATGCATTAAAGTTTTTGTACATTGATTTACTACAGTGTATGCATAATGAGCAAAAAAATAATTTAATTTTTTTTCCTTTGGAAAAGAAGAAGTGACCTGACGTTTACGTAGTACTGTAAGTGTATCCTTCGACTAATTTGGCCGATGTTCAATACCAACCTATGCGCATAAACTTTCAATGTTTCTTTCTGTCCAATCTGATACAAACTGTGGAAGTAATGTTTTCAGTTTACATTGAATTTTATCGATTGAAACTCCTGTAAATCGTTCCAAGACCTTACACGCAAGCTATTCAGTTGGATCAGATTCATTAAATGGCCAATAATTAAGCTCTCGAGTTTTTCTTGTAAGACTATGATTTGTTTCATTTGCTTTTCCCCAATTACAATATTACGGCCAATGTAAATTTAATTTGGGATTAAAGATTATCATGCAACTAGAACCATTGAAGGTTTAGCAAAATTTTTGAAAAGATAAAGCGGACACTAAATAGTTTTTTCATTAACATTCATTTAGGATCCATTTCCAATGCAATTCAAACATTCACAGAGACACAGGAATTTACAAAACCTCTCTAGACTAATGCGTATAAAATCTCTTTGGCAATTCAAAAGCGGATTATATAACATCATAGTAGACACAATTTAGTAAGCAATGTAGATTTTCATTTTATTCGAATAAATATACAATTATTTGCATAAATAAAATAAATAATAATATTACCCTTTTAATTAGTTTTCTTTTTCAAAAGAAATTTCTTATCATACGGAGTAAATTCCCTCTTGTAAGCATATTTTAATTTAAATTAGTTCAATTTATATTAAAAAAGGGAATTTTTACATATTCGATAAAGCATTAATAATAATAACGACAACAATAATAATAACAGTATTTATATATATATATATACATTATGATAAATAAACGAAACGAAAAAATGTAAACAAATAAGATGTGCGCAAAATGCAACAACAAAATACAACCGGTACTACTTTTGACAGCAACAAAATACAAACAAAATGTGATTAGTAGTCATTTGTAGATGATATTTTGATTATAATTTGTGCAAATGTGGTTAGTAGCCATTTGTAGATGGTATTAGTGTGGTTAGTAGTCATTTGTGGATGATATTTTGATCATAATTTATGCAAGTGTGGTTAGTAGCCATTTGTAGAAGGTATTAGTGTGGGTCTGTTTTGAAAAGTAAACAATAGCACGTGTATAGCAAATGTAAACAAAAATTAGAATTTGCAACAACAACTATACACGGTATCATCTTTACACCAACAAAATATATATACAAAAATAGTTGTTTGCTAACAGCGTTGCTATTCACAAAAACCTAACCGGTTGTTTGTTTAATTATTGATTACATATTATTACGTGGGTTATTACACCGAGATTATTTACTATATTAAAATAACATACACGGTGCTCTTTTGCTTTTTTTTTTGCACATGTTTATTTGTGTTCTTTTTTGTTTACAATTGTATTTTAACAGCCCTGTTTTAAGAAGAAACAGCATCAGAGTTTCTCGCCCTTGAATTTTGGCAGCACAATCCTTACAACAAAAAATATAATTAATTGCTTGGCAGCTCTAATTATTATTAAATGTTTTTTTTTCAACAACACAAGTAGAGGTTTAGCAAAATTTGTGATCAGTTATTTTAAATTAAAATTAAATTGAAATTATAAAAACATCCGATTTATTAAACGCCAACGTCAATTACCTAAGTGAAATATACAGCAAGTGTGATTTTATAGAATTTAAGCAGCGAAAATTGTACAATCATCATCATATGATATATGTCAAACGCCAAGTATAAAAAGTGTCTGACATATAATAATAAATAACCTTAGTAAGAAAAATCAAACAAATAAAAATAAATAAATAAAAAAGAAAAACTTATCAAGTTTCCTAATAATTAATTATTCATACGCACGCAAATAAGCAGCTAACATTCCAACAACAAATAATCTGTCGGGAGAGAGTAGGGTCTGTGGTTTGTGACATTTAATATTCACCCATACAAATGCATTCCTCCGGTCTCATTTAAGCTAAAAACCAATGAAAAAGTGATACAAAAAAAATATTTCAGTTCATAAATATGAAAATACACTTTAGGGAACAATATGGCACTAAAGGTGAAGAAATATTATATGTTACACCGGCCGGTAAGTTGACGATGATTATTAAAAGTAGCAAGTGTTTCTCACAAAAATTTTTAGATCAAAAATCCATAGTTCGCGTACCGTTGCGGACCGACAAATTGATGATACGTGAAAAATTTTTTCTTTTCCGTTTGATGCAACAAATTTTTTTACCGAGAGGTTATCCAGACAGTGTTAGTGAAGACTATGCCGCTTACCAAATCTGGGATACAGTACAAGCATTCAGCAGTACCATTTGCGGTGTGTGTTTTTAAGGTTACAAATACATCAACGCACAACGGCTTAAGTAAAAATTTAATTTCATTTGAACTTCAGGAACGTTGTGCACGCACGCAATACTAAAAGGTCTGGGAGTGGGTAATGAAAATATAAATGCATATTCTGCAACAGTTACCTGGATTTTGAAAGAAGGCAGCGGCCATTTAGGGCGTATATTGTTTTCTTGGTGGAAAGGAGCCCAGCTAGATGTGGAAAGTAAAAAATGGCGACTAAGAGCCGATTTTCTCAATGATTGCGCTATGGGCATAGAGATTTATGTGCTTCCTAAATATCCTCATTTAAGTACATATATATTATGCAGCACCACCGTACTAAAGGCCATAGTTGGCGTTGCAGGTAATTGGTTTATTAATTGATATGAGAGTTTTGCAGGAAAGTAAAGGTAACTTTTGCAGGTGGCGCTACCAGGGCAGCTCTAACACAACATCAAGCTGTGCGTGGAAATCTCGCAGATGTTAGTTCAAAAGACAGTTCTCAAGAAACATGTGTTAATTTAATAGCCTCTTTCGTTGGTCTTTATTTCTTAACAATCATCAAGAGTCCGGGGTATGCAATTATTAAGATCTCAAATGTATTACTTTTAAAAATTTCATATTTTTTGTCAAAGAGTGTTATACAGTGTGTTTGCATTTGTTGTTGTGATGCATTTGTACGCCAACCTGAAAGCAGTTAAAGCAGTTTGCTTAAAAACCTTTAACGAATCACGCTATTTAATAACTTTGGAAGAATATTTCAAATCTGGAAGAATGTTACCGCCAAAACAAGTAAAGCGAGGATGTTTTAAAGATGAAAAAGTATACTTTAAATCCTTTATAGGTCAATAAACTGGAACGTGTCACGTTGGGTCAAACAGTTTCGGTTTCTGTTAATATACGCTTAGGTCTTTCTATAAAGCATTTGGTAGATGAATATCAAAATAGTCTGGTTATCGAAAACATAATCTCTTCATTTGATCCCCATGAGCGTTTCATTATAGCGGAAAGCAAAAAATTTCTGGGAGTCTATTTACATTTCGATACTCAACCACAAGATGTCTTAAAAGCTTATTTTTTTGCTGTCTCATATCTCCAAGATCGCAATCAGATTAAAGAAAAATATTGGGAAGTGCATAATAAATGGCAGGAATTTTATAATATGGCACTGCAAGAAGGTAGTTCTTTTCGTCTCAGTGAAGGAACAATACAATATTTCACTAAGTGTTTACGTTACATTTCATTCTTTATCAAGGTTGGTTAACAAGTCAACATTTATTAATGGTGGATGAATATCGTTTAAACTGGAAAGCCTAAACTTTCTTTTTTTCACCGAATCGCTGGACCAAAAACTCTTTGGTATAATAAAATCAAGGTAAAAGTTTTATTTCTTTATATAAATAATATTTAATCATGAATTTCAAGTTTGGTTTTTAAGTATATTTCTGTTTTTTAACACTTCCTTTTCGTATTTCGTTTAGCACATGAACAAAATGTAATGTAAAACTCATTTCGTTTCTTAGCATTTGAAATACTAACATATCTTCTCCTAAAAAAGAAAAACATGCAAATAATAATGCTCGGTTCAGGACGAACTTTTTTGATGCCCACCACACTTGTCTGCTTTTTGCCCTATCTCTAAATGTCGAAAGCAAAAATTTATTATGTTCTTATCGCATCCTATAGCTAAGGTAACAAATTAAATATACCACATTGGAAGCCTTATGTTAATTTCCATCGTTTAGTTGTACGCATACTTCAAAATATTGCCCATTATTAAGCAAAGGCTGTCTGCAATATTGTAGCAAACCCATGATGAACGCATAGCATCAAGTCATTACGTGATGCGTCACTACTTATAGCGACCACGATTTATTTAATATCCCTTTTAGGAATTCATGCTAAAGGCATCCAACTTGATATTGGCGAACACTTTAGAAGCGTTCATATTCGGTTCAGCTATTCATGTAGATCGTAATGTATGACGAAAGGTTTTGTAATAAAGCAATCCTAATAGAGCACCAGCTATATTAAAAATATTTCATATAATTCCCCTGCTTTGAAACGTTTGGAAATGGAAAGTAAAACGAAAGATGTTAATGCAATTATTCACTAAATAGCACGCGAGATGGTCGCATGTTGACAAAAAAACTTTACACAAAAAGTTCCCGCAAGGGTAAGGTTAGTGTTTAGGACAACGACAGGCAAAAAGGTTCATAAAATCTTTGGGTATAGCATATAAGCTACTGGAACTGATACGAAACGATCTGCGTTTGATCAGAGCCGTCATAATTCCCTCAGATGTCACTTGAAAAATATGGGTCTGTCCGATACTGATTCACGCAGATTCTGCCGAGGAACGAGTAAGATTACCCCTCATATTCTATGTGAATGTGAGGCAAACATGTGTTTGGTCAGCATTTCATAACGCCAGACCCCGTATGGTGCTCTGAACAAAAGCAAGTGGCGGAATTCATAAGAATCCTAAAACTAGGGGACTAGTGGCACGGACAAGTATAACAGATCTATGCCGCTGTGGGAATTTTCCTACGCATTTCTTTATTTAAGATTCATTTACGGAAAGTAAATCGAAAAATTTTAAGGCAAAGGTTAAAGAAAGCGGGTGCTTTGAAATGATAAGTCATGTTGTCCGTAATAAAAATCTGTTAAGTTTTATACATCTCGTGTGGTGGGTATAGAAGAAACCTTCGATACCCATAGTGACATCCTTACTAAATCTGTACATATGTTTAGCTTTTAACAGAGTGATTTTCAGGCTAAACTATTCTCTACTTCCGTGAAACATGTAACATTTTTGCCTTAAAAATTAGCTGTATTTTCTAAAGTTGTCTAAAATTATTTGAAATAGTTAAAATAATTCTTGGATTTTTTCTTCAAATTTTTAAGTTTATATTTTAGTTAAAAAAAAAAAAATTTTCGAATAATTTGAATAAAAATCACTATTATCCTGAAAATTAGATCGAATGAAAAGCAATATAAGTTCAAATATAATGTTATCTTTTTTATGTAGTAGCTTTAAAAACTATAATTTAATTTAAGAAGAAAAAAAAACGCCTAACAAAGTACTTTCGCATACTGAAACCCACATTTCTAAAAGCCTCCTAGAATCATACAACATATACATACAACTTTCATATATCTAAAGTAGAATCATACAACACACGTATATATATGCTTTCATATATCTAAAGCATATAAAACGACCGAAAATATTTTACAAAGAAAATTTTTAACAATTAATTAAAACAAGTAGTATTGAACAACCAACAAATTCATATAGTTTTGTATAAGTGTTGATATATTTACTCACACACATTTTAAATATATAAATATAAAAGGTATATAGTAAAACATACACGAAACTATCTCAACAAAAAAATTCCACTCATTAAAAGCAACGAATAATAGAAGTTTTAATTGTATGTTGTAATCCCAATGAATTATCGGCGTATCCTTCTTCTTTTGTGTTTATAGCTTAAATGTACGTAGCTTTAATTATATTACACACATACAAATGAGCTTAAAGTGAAAAGATATTTATATAGCTTAGCGTTTTATATTTGTAAATTATTTATTATGTACTATATTTATTTAATTTATTATGAAATTTTTAATAAGGTGCTTCCATCAACCCCTGTCAGTAGCTACGAAATGTAATTTTCATTTTTTTCTCAACGTTTTTTTTTTTTTAATAATATAATTATACAACCTTTAGCTTCAGCTTATTATATTAATGTAAATTATGACCTTATAATTATAGAGCACATATTATTCACTTTAAATTAGTTTATATTTTATAATTGTTTAAAATATTTACATATATGTACACAGGGAGGGAATATTTAATGCAAATACAATAAAGAAACGTGATTTTAAACAATATATTATTGTTAATCTTTTGATATCTTTTAATTCTATTATAAACTCTACAATTTAATTTTAACGTTATTGGTGAACAAATTAAAGTACCTATAACGAATAAGGCAATAATATATTTTCGCTAGAAATTCGCTTCATATTGCTCTTAGGTCTGTTCTATTGCCTGTCTTTGAAACTAAAAAATTCCCTCTATGGAGATATCGTTTTAAATCAAAGAAAACCATCGCATCTCTTGTTAGCTACCGAAGATATTGACATAGAACTTGACAGATTTTCCTATAGTCGTCCGGTTATATATCTGGTATTAGTATTGCACTCATATGAAAAGAGTACAGAGAATAACAAGTAAAAACATTACAATAGACCGCAATTCACCATCAAGTATCCCATATCACTTCAGTTAGTACATATACTCCATCCTATCAAAACAAGGCGTCATATAGAAAGTGGTCCAATACGAACCATTCTCAATAGCTTTCGTGTTTCTAATTTCGCCGAAATATATCAAAAATTTCGAGTTGTATGTTGAATACAAGAATATGTGGCAGACATTAGACATACCGACAGGCAGACAGGCAACGCATACTTCCGCCCAATCTTAATCTATCCTTACACCACAACTGGTGTAGACTATAAAAGAGTAGTAAACGCACTCCCAATTCTGGTTCTAAACGATTTTGATAAGCAGTTTAGAGACATATAAATTCGATTTCCTTTTTACACCATAATATGCGTGCGTAATAATTGTTGGCAAAAAGATCCTATTTCACGATTATCACTGTCTATATTTTAGCGTTTTCTATTTTCTTTTTTTTTTCTTAGAACGCATCTCTTATGTGATATTTCAAGTTCATTTCTTTTAATACAACATTTACTGCGGCTTTTAATTAAAAGGGGAACGGAAAACTAAACCCCAAAATAAAAAAAAATCGCAAAAAATGTAATAATGTCTAGACTTGGCAATATTGCCTTATCACAATTAGGTAGTGGTTGTTGTTGTTTTCATTTCATTAGAATTTAGAAATTTTAAAAACAAAATAAACAAAAATCGTAAAAATTGAATAAAAATAGAAGAAGATATAATAATGTAAGCAATTTTTCTTAAAAACATTAATTAATCGCCCACATAATCAGTGCGAGACAACGTTTAATATCGTATTAAATAAATATCATTACACGCATTTATATAAAATGTCCAATACAAAGTATGAAATCTCAAATTCCTCTAAAGTAACAAATTGTTTACCAAATGAACCAAATGAATGTATTTATTTAGATGAATTCAAAACATTTTTAAGAGAATTATCACGAAGTTTAGGTGATAACATACTTGATAATGGCACCGAGTTGCGTAATTGTGTAACACGGGGTAATAATGAAACGTACCCGGTTATGGAAGGCGAAGAATTACAAGCCGAAATATTAATGCAAATTTGGCAGCAATTGCATGTAAAACAATGTCCTGAACATTTCAAGATGGCTTTATTAAAATTGATATTGGAGCAGATATATGGAGAATTAAAGAATGCAAAGATACGAGATCAATTACAAATTATGCGTCTTAGTATTGGTGATACTGATGCGGTTAATGTGTGCTATGACTTATTGAAACTGCAGAAATTCATTAATCAGTGGGTGGATAAAGCTCTACTGCACTTATCAGATAACTCGAAGGAGGAGAATTTAAAAACTTACGCCGATTGCTTTAATAAATCGGAAAGAACATCAAACGCCTTTTCCTATACTGAATTTCATATTAAGAACAAACCTCGAAAAATGGAAGATCGTCATACATGTATGCCTAGGTTTAGTGAAATGTTAAATATTAAAGAGATATACAGCTTTTATGGTGTATTTGATGGACATTCTGGTTCTTTAGCGGCCACGTATGCAGCCAATCAGATACCCTACTTAATATCACTGCAGCTTAAACAACGGCCAGATGTTCAATCAAGTGATTGCGACTTTTACAGGGAAGCTTTCGAAACTGCTTTTTTGCAAGCTGATCAAAATTTTGCTCAAAAATCTATCTGTAGCGGAACAACAGCGGTTTGTGCTTTATTAAAGTATAATGCGGAACAAATTCAACACCTTTATATAGCTTGGGTTGGTGACTCAAAAGCTCTACTTGTGTCTCCGACAATGCAGTTGCAGTTAGTAAAAGCCCATAAACCTGATAATATGGACGAACGCAAACGCATCGAATCATTAGAAATAGGAGGTGCAGTTATGTTTGTTCAGGGTCAATGGCGAGTAAATGGTATTATTAATGTCTCTCGGTCAATAGGAGATTCTTCAGTAAAGGCAGTAATAGCAGAACCTGATTTTGTCGATATTCCATTGCAGGCAACACATGATTTTTTATTGCTAGGTAGTGACGGCTTGTGGGATCATGTAGGTGAAAATCATATTGTTCAAACTGTTTATAAAGGTCTAGATGATAACGAGCAATCGTTAGAAGACATTCCAAAGCATTTAATCGAATTAGCTAAGCAGGGCGATTCGCAAGATAATATAACGGTGATTTTAGTTTTATTAAAAGATCGTTCCAAAATCAATGAAAACTATAAAAAGTATCAAGAAAAATAAATGTGCTAAGTGCGGGCCAATAAGTCACTAACTTGTGACAGCCAAATCGGTCTTCACTAGAATACTGCAAACATATTCAAGTTTGGTATTGAAGAAGTAATATATTTTAGGGAAGTCTAAAAGAACTTTTTCACTTAAAAGTAAGCAAAAAAAAAAAAGAAAAAAAAGACAACAAAAAAAAATTAAATTATTTAAGAAAATCATCTCCAACGTTTTTATTAGAACATTTTTGTAGTTTAGCTTAGCCTTCTCCTTTCCTAAAATATCGTAAAATACACGCCCATTAACAACTTATTAGCTTTTTACAAGCAGCAAAAATGTAATTGCCACGTGGCAAATTGTAGATACCTATCACCTTAAGAAAATATATATATGTAAAGATTGCGATGTATTTTGTCAAAGTTAAAGGTCACATTGCCGGTTCGTTTTCGCATTATGAACTTAAATGGCTAAAAGAAGTATTAGCGAACTTTATAAAATATGTAGCTTCGTGACAACTCTTGGCGGATTATCCATGTCCATCAATTTCCTAATGGGGCAATGAACATCTTGGATTCTTCCAAAAATAGCCGACGTACAACGGACGGATCAAATCATATCGGTAGCTTAGTTTGACAACAGAAATGTATATTATAGGATGTGCCTACTTATATCTTTCGATGGTGGTGGATGTATAAAGAGAATATATTTATACGATGTGCCTAAAATTTAGCAAAACAAGCAAACAACGATCAATGCTATGATTTTCACTTAAAAACCCAATTAACAAATAAACCAACGTACAAGTGCTCATAAGATTCGTTCAAATTTTTCTTCTTTTTTTATTTTTTGTTTTTTTTTTTATAAATGTATTAGGTAAAGCATATCTAAGCTTTGCGATAATCGTGTATCTATGTATATATTTAGACAATTCTTAATGATTTTTATTTGCTTTAGACAGATAAATTGTGTAGCGCCTTTTATTAAAAGCAACGAATAACTACATGTAACTAACCACCCATCCAATCCAATAATTTATGTACCTTTTTTACACTTTTTATCAAATTACATAGTACATTAATTTTAATTGTAATGAGATCCATATTTTGAGTACACTGCGTATGCGCACGTGTTCCATTAGCTCATTAGCTAAAATACTTATTAAAAAGGTAATAAAAATTTAAGAAGCTTCAATAATAAGTTCATGCATTTGTTTTCTTTCTTTTCAACGAGGATTCAAATTTATTCCTTAAATAATTAACGAAAAAATTATGAAGACGCTAGAGAAATGTGTATGCCAACGGGTACTTAAACAGCACAGCATTTTGCATTATTCAAAGAAAGTTGGTCTTCACTTACGCTTATAGTACGGTGAAGGCTTCTTCTCTTCGCACTTATAAATTTGTAATATCAAAATCTGAATCATCTTCCCTGTGGTGAGGTGATGTAGCTAGCGTGCTTCATAATCTCATATGAGTCTCACAACATCCTTTGGTGATGGGTATATTCATTTTGTCAAAGCGTTTGCAACGTCACAGACGCCGTAAAGAGTATATATTTGCTTGGTCAGCATTTTAAATCGATTTAAACATGTCCGTCTATCCCGTCTGTATAATGTCGGTTGCAAACATTCTCGTGGCCGCAAAAATAAAGCTATCTTCAAATTTTGCAGAAACACAGGAAGTTGTTGCACGCAGATTGTTATTGAAAATGGGCCAAATCGGTTGGAGAAGACGCCCGCAGCACCATGTAAACTGAGAATTTTTCTGTTTTCCCCCTCATATACTATAGCAAATAAAACTTTTCAAAGGGCACGCCTGCAACGCCTACACGCGTATACGACGAAAATTTTTATTTTGAAAATAAAAGAAATCAACTGTGCCCACACCGCATTATAGAGAAACGGAAATTTTGTTCTCTTATTTCTTTTGTCTTTTTTAAGATGGTGATGGGTGTAAAAGATTCGGTCCCGACCCAACATAATTTTCTTATTTCCTTTTTTTTTGTTTCTATTTATTACTGTTTTGAGATGACATGATTTTTGATTTTTTCATTGATAATTTAACAACTATTTGTCGCTTTGAATTTTAAACGATTACTATTAGGTGTTTGCAAAAACGTTGATCATTTCTTGCCATGAAAAATGCATTTATTATGGAAAATCGGTACAATGTACATTAATCAAATTAGTTTCCATCACGTTCTACATTTTACAATATTTTTGGCAACACGGCGATATGTCTCAAGAAATTATATTATTATCATTATTATTAAAACGAGTAAAGTGGTGTAGGGTAACTGACACTCGGCCTTGCCCGACTACAATGTTCTTCTTTTAAAATTGTCTTATCACGTTGGCCTTTTAGTTGGTTTTTCCTGTATATTTGTGTATTTAAACCACTAACAGCTTATGGCTTTTCTTTTCTCGGTGAAAATTGTTATTCTATTTTTTGCTTTCCTGTAAAATACTTTTTACTCAATGCACATATGCGAGGAGCCCTTTTAGCCCTCTTGGCTAACAACAGTTTCGCATTAGAATGCAAATTGTTATTTAAAAAGAAGAAGCGCAGTTAAAAGGAAATAAAAAAAAAAGAAAGAGGAATTACTGTTACATTTTCCATACTTCCTTTTCGTTTAAACTACTCTGGTCACCTTTTAAATGTGACAAATTACAACCATTAGTTAGTATTCGCACGTGTTTTTCTTTTCCTTTACGTTTTTTGTTTTTATCATCGTTCGCATAAGTTTTTTTTTTTTAATTCGCATCATAACAAGTAAATTTATTTGATCATGTCTACGGTAGAGGGTGAAAAAAAGTTTACAGTGGACACATCTTACACCAATTTCTATACAGGTGGTGATGTTGCTTGGAGTAATGATGGACAATATATTTATTGCATGAATGGAAACGCAGTAAATTTAGTTGAAATTGTAACGGGTTTGGTTAAACGGATGTACGGTCTGAATGCAAATATAAATACTGAAGGCGATAAAGCGTTTAGTGAAGAAGATGAAGACGTTATCTACAGCTTTGCTTTGGCTCCCAGAAGCGATTATTTATTAACTGCACATCGCAGCAGTTTGCTAAGATTGTGGCATTTGGAAGATGGGAAAGTGAAAAAATTATGGAAAAGTCAACACAAAGGACCAATTGTTAAGGTTGCATTTAATCCCGATTGTCGTTTGGTGTGCAGCAGTGGCGGTGATTCGAGCTTACGTATATGGGATTATGAAAATAGTCGATGCTTGGCTGCTTTTAAAGATTTTTCGGGTCCTTCATATTTGGTTCATTTCCATCCAAATGCCTTTAAAACGGAGATTTTTGCTGCCGGCTCTGATAATAGCATTTATTGCTGGAATTTTCACACAAAGGAGTTGATCTGTAAAATGTCTGGCCATATATCACAAGTGACTGGCTTTTGTTTTGCGAATCGGGACTCCGATTGTGAGTTTATGGCTAGTGTAGGACGGGATAAAGTATTGATAATTTGGCGATTAAATGGAACTCAGGAGAAGGTAATACCAATATATGATGAATTGGAAGGAGCATTTTATGCTAATGAGCGTGAGGTTATTGTAGCCGGAACCAAGGGTGATATAAAGCTGGTTAAGTTGAAATCTGGTAAAATTTCATTACTCAACGAAAGTCGAGGAGAATATGAAATTAAACATCTACTCCGTAACGATGTCACGCAACAATTAGCTGCAGTAACTGTTGATCACAACATACTGATATTTGAACGGTATGCGGAAAATCAAAGTTTAAATTGCATTAAACAACTGATTGGCTTCAACGATGAAATACTTGATATCACTTTTCTGGGCGAAAGTGAACGCTTTCTAGCCATGGCTACGAACAGTAAGCACATTAAACTTTACGATTGCGAGAAGGGAATGAATTGTAAAATCATTCCTGGCCATACGGATACAGTGATGTGTTTGTCTACACCAGGCTTAAGTAATATGTTGCTTTCAGCTGGTAAGGACTTTGCTATAATATTGTGGCAATTGAATATTGAGGAGTGTACTTTGCATTGCATGGCGAAGAACGTAAGCAGTCATACAGCTGCCATAGGATGCATAAGTTTTGCTTACGAGTGTTCGAAGACGTTCGCGTCTGTCTGTCAAAGTGGTATCTTAAAAGTGTGGAATCTTAAAGAGATAGAGCAAAAGGGCGGAGAATTTCAATTCAATATTAAACACGCTGCTATAGCCCATGATAAGGAAGTTAATTGTGTAACATATTCGCCAAATAACAAAATCATAGCGACCGCTTCGCAAGATAAATTGGCTAAATTATGGTCAGCAGAGACTTTCACGAGTTTAGGTATATTGCGTGGTCACTCGAGAGGTGTATGGTGTGTACGTTTCTCACCGGTAGATCAAATAGCTGTGACCAGTTCAAGCGATTGCAGTTTACGTATTTGGTCATTAGCAAATTTAAGCTGTTTGAAGCGTCTGGAGCACACGAGTACCGTTTTAAAAGCGGAATTCTTACATCATGGCAGACATATCATCTCGACCAGCTCAGATGGCCTCCTAAAATTATGGAGCATCAAAACAAGCACATGCATACAAACAATGGAAGGACATGATGATCGCGTATGGTCATTGGCCATGCCTAGCAGCAGTAAAATGCATTTTTTTAGTGCAGCAGCGGATTCGAAATTAATCAAATGGCGTGACATAACTGAGGAAGTGAAAAATACAGAGATTGACAACCGACAGCAGCAATTATTGCAAGAGCAATCCCTACAAAACCTCTTAAATGAAAGTAAAAATACGAAAAAAGCTTTCATCTTGGCACTGAAATTGGGCAAACCCAAAGTATCCTATAAAATTATCAACGAATACATAAGGAAAAGGGATTACTCTGGTATGGAGGAAATAGTTTCTGCACTTGATACCGATCAACGACGCGCATTATTGGATCATGCAAAAATGTGGATAACAAATTCCCGATACTCTCAAGCGTCAAATCTGATATTGAAATACCTTCTCGCTGAGATGTTAGTTGACCCCGGATTACAACGTTCCCTTAATTCCGCCAATTTAGTCGAAGTATTAACGCCCTATACTCAAAGACATTTTAAACGTCTCACAGCACTGAAAACAGATTTGAATTACTTGGACTTTCTTGTTCAGAACATATAAAGCTTATAAGACAATTATCAAAAGATGAACCCAACTTTTTTTTATTTCAACCACTTTATAACCTAAACGGGTCAATTCTACTGTGTTCAACTGTGCGTTACTAGAACAATCGAAGTTGCCAAGAACTACGACAGAAAGATCATATGCTAGCACCCAATTGCAATTTGTTTTCTAGGTTAAAATTAGGAAGAAATTGCGTAGTTCCCTCCTTCAAATTTTAAATAATGGATGTCCAATATTCGCTTTATGCCTGATAAAGGTTAATAGTTAGTTATAAATAGATGTTAATTAATGAATGTTTTATAATATAGGAAGAAATGTATTTCACAAGTGATTTTAAAAAATAAAAAAAAAGATTTTAGACAATAATAAGTGAAGCATTTTCTGTGTGTTAACCGCATTAATTGATGCTTTTGCTTTTCATGGTGTGGGCGGATAGTGGAGTCAGTTCTATTTTATCTATTTTCAGAGCAAATAATATGGTTAGAGTTGTTTCCAATTTGATCAAAAAACACTTAGAGCGGTAGTCCTTACGATTTTGTACTTGCTTGTATTGTGTAAAACCGCAATTGCTTAGGGCATTGTTCTATGGGTGTATTATATCAGAACCCCTTAAGATGAGATCAGAAGGTGACGGATTAAATGAAGACAGTGTTAAAGGTTCAAATGGGCCGACAATCCCCACGAATCTGAAAGACTAGCTCATTAGCCGATAGACACTGGAAGGTCCTTTGCATGAACTTGCGAAGCTTCGACTGGAATATTCATAACATACTGTTTTCATATTTTGTTCTAATGTAACAACCTTCTTACTTGAAACTCTTTTTTCCCTTTGCTCTGCTGTACCGATCACTGATGCCTTTCAGACAATTCTGTTTTGAAGAAATATTAGTTTTAGTACAGTGATCATTTGTGTCAATTTAACGGCTAATTAAGCTTTTTCTCTTAATGGAATAGTAATTTATTTTAGAAATATCGTAATGTATCTTTAATAAAAAAAAAGAAAATATACTCTTTATGAAATTGGCCGGGGTTGGGTTTATAATGGCTGAGATCGTGTATTAAAAGGATGTGGAACAGAATGTGCGGATGATGTAGATGGTGGTTGTAAATGCATGTGCTGATGTGTCTCGTACATGTTGGGCGCACCTAGAGGATAGCCTCCTTGTGCGATTGGTGAAGCCATTTGTGGCCCGTATCGGTAATTGGGCGGAGGATAGTAACTAAATGCGTGAGGATAATAATTGGAATGCCAAGAGCTGGGGTACATGGCGGGTCTTGGTCCCATATGTCTTGGATGGGCGTTTAAGTGACGACTTCCTCTGTTCCCTCCAAATCCGAAACTTTGATTTTGTTCATTTTGACGTCTACGCTTTTTATTCGAAAGTGCTTTTACCTGTTCATCACTATTCTTCGTACATTCTCCCTCATTATGATCATCATTTTCCCTTGTTTTATCTTTGCTACGTAAACGTGATCGCGCTAATCTTTCTTCTTCGTCGTCGGAATAATCGATATAGTGCGGTGGTGGTTCGACATCATGTTCCCAGGAAGCATCGGACCCGCGCATTTTCATCAAACTTGATAATATAATAAATTGTGTGTATTCAGTTTTGGGTGCCGCATATACTGTATCTCCCACCTTGATGTTCTTTTCTATTATTTGCTCATGTGAATTGAAGCGTACACAATACAAAGGTTCAGCGACTTGGCCCAAAACATCAAATACCTCCCCAAGAACTTGTTGACCTTTCTCGAGAAACAATACAGTGTCCAAATTTAGAAGTAAAGCGTTGGGCAAAGCGCTCACCAGTACCAGCTGATCTACGATTGAATGAATCTTACCTAATTCAACACATTCACCTTCAGGCACTGTAATATGTAAATCCTTAATAGGCGGTAAGTCATCTAAAAGTAATTCGCCTTTCACACGCGGTGGGCGGGGTTTTTTCTTTTTCTTAGTACCATCACCACATTCTTCGTCCTCTTCATCGCCTTCTTCTTCATTGCAATCATCCTTACTTGCGCTTATACGGTTTTCGATAATCGTGCGTATATCCTCTAAGCATTCGACACCTGATTCACTATCACTTTCGGAATCAATTTGGATAGGTTGATTACGATAATCTGCATTATTTGCAATTGGTATTTCCACAACAGAATCTGTCGTAGATTTATCATCTTCAGATTCACTATCACTTTTGCCATTTTCAAATTCACTATCCGACCCATATTGAGCCAACATACTTAAGCCTATCGATTCTTTTTTTGGAATATCGTGAACGTTTGAATCGGTTAAATTATCGGAAGAAATTAAAGCGCTTCCAATTTCCATGCCAACCACCGCGTCCAGTTGTTCCTCTTCTAATGGATTTGCGGTGCTTGTAACTTCTTCGTTCTCTTCTTCTAAAGTTCGTTCTTTCAATATCAATTGTGGTTTATCCATGTCTACCATGTTTATCTGTTCATCAGAATTCGACATTTGTTGACTTTTAAAAACGTCTTCTACTGAACATTGCTCACTACCACCGGAACCTCTCATAGTACATTCGATTACATCAGAATTACTCTGCCTGGAAATGGCCCCAGTATCTTCAGTCTGTTTGATCTCCTCCTGGCAAATCTCACCTTTTTTTAGATTATGCGAATCATTTACAGAGAAATCAGAAGCTGGCTCAACAGGCGATTGAGTTGGAAAATTTATTATTTCCTCACATCTTTTAGGTGACATAATCAAAGTCGTGATATCATTTTGTTGCACTTTCCCCACATCACTTCGGCTATCACCATTTTCTTTCACATGTATATCGCTAGTATTTGCCATCGCTTGCGGCTTATTAATGTCTCCTACTTGATTGACATCAGCTAAAATTGGTTGCTGATATGGACATTTCAGTTCTCTAACTTCTATGATTTCCACGACATTTTTACGTGGATGTTCTTGTGAGTTGTCTTCATAATTCGGTGCTGCGTGAACTAGTGGCTCGATACTCGTAGCAGACGTTCTTTCATCTTCTGTGGGATAGTTTTCATTAAATATTCATTCGCTGATGAAATGTAAATTTGTTTACCGTAAGCTATTTCCTGAGATAATGTCTGATTGTTTTTTAATTGATCTTCATTGATTGACTCCATCCTGATGTAGTAGATAGCAGTAATAATAATAATTACATAGCACTGAAAACGTGCTTTCTCAAAAGTCTTCTTCTTCTTGAATTTTCAGCTAGTCAGCAGGGAATGTTTTTTGATGCTTTATAAACAAACGCACAGTGTTTCTAAAATTTTATTGTTACGGTTAAAGTATTTTCTTTTTTTTTGATTATTATTAAATATAATATATTTTTTCTTTTTTGTCGTTAATTTAATTATTGTTATCATTATTAGCGAAATCGGAGTTTGATCGTTACATTTTATACGTTTAAGTTGTACGCTTTAAAAAAACCGGATTAGTTAGTAAGCCGCCAAGTTTTGAGAAAGAACCGTATCTGGGACTGTGTGGCTGAGAAGTCCACACGAAGAACATGGTTTGGTGAATAGATGAATCGAAATTTGAACAAACAAAAAGAAGAAGTGGCCTTATGGGCCTACGTTGGTCGTGTGCTGTTTGAAAAAAGAAAGGTATTGATCTTTATAATCTATTCATGCAAAGGCAGATAAGCGGGGCAATATGAAATAAATTCTCCCACAAATTGGAATAAATTCATTAAAATGACCACGGGTTATATGAAAATATTCATCGCATATGTTGCAGCCTATTGTGGCGCTAGACTTTGAGCAATATTTACATATTCGTTTAGTAGCGTTCGCAATTTCTCTGCTTATATCATGAAATAGTATATAATATAAAATACCGGAGAGGTCGTCACCGTTTTGAAGTATATTAGTGGATAGCGGCAGTAAGAATGTATCGAATAAAACTTTTTATACCCGGAAAATTGTGCCTTACATACGTAAGAAATAGGAAATTGCCCTGAATTTCGCCAACCAGGCAACTGTTCATTATATTAATTATCGTATATTGTCTGACCGTAGAAAAGTTTTTTAAAATTTTTTTGAGAAAGAAAATGTAGTCCACGTAAAATTGATCGCAAGTCACCCTTTCTCTGACGTAAATATAACAGTCACTGATTCTTAATATACTTAATTAATATAGAAGACATTGTTGAGCGCAGTGACGTTCTAAGCAAGAATTTTATGAAATTATTCATAATGCTTTGAAATAAATTAATTGCTTCGCCGCGCAGGCGTTCTCATCGTTTCCGAAATGAAAAACCCCGACCTTATTAAATTTCAGCAATAATTTCGATAAGACAAATTGGAAGTAAAAAAAATTCTTTAGGTAGTATATAAATAATTTGGACTGCGTTATGAATTCCGAAAACCCATAAAATCTTATCAACTAGCCAGAAACTAAAATAAATAATTCTTCCAAAGCGGAAAAAGAATAATTCTTTTGAATTGTTTATCTAGATACTCAAATAAAAAAAATGAAGCTTAAACGAAATTGCATAAAACTAGGGGAGCAGCCGGCATGCTTTTACATTAAAAATAAGAAAGTTGAAATAATCAATAATAATTGAACAGACAGAAGGATTAACAATAAACATAAAGGTGGACATTGCTGGTCGGTTTGCATTATGTAAAGAAAAAGTTGAATGCCGTCTTTGTACCAGAATAAAATGTTGTGGAATGCTTAAGCCACTTCGCATAAGTCCAGAAATGTGACGTAAAATTGTTTATCTAGTTTTGATACAAAAATCATTTTACAAGTTTGATTGTTACAAGAGTTTAAATGTCTATCTTGGAAACGAGTTACATAAATTATAAAAATGTGAAAATTTATTTCAAAGCATTATCAATAATTTCATCAAATTCCTGTATAATGCTTAGATCGTCACTGCGCTCAACAATATCTTCCATATTAATTAAGTTATTACTACGTTTTATTTCGTCTAGCGTTTTGCCAGCAAAACGTGCATCATTAAGTTTCACTTTAACTTTAACTTTGGCCGAGCAATCGAGAGAATCAGTGAATTCGTACATATCAAAGATTAGGAATCCATCATCTAACTGCATTTCATCAGCACGCATTTCGACACTCTCGTCGTAAGTTTCGCCACAGAGCCTATCCGTGCCCGATGTTAAAGCTTGTACAGGTTCCTCAATGTTATCAACTAAACCATTTGAGTCTGTTACTACAACAGGAACGTTTTTTCTCTTTGTCTTTTGAGAGAGTATAACCGTAACCATCGAAGACGTGCTCTCGTCTGAAAATTCTGCATTTTCATGTAACAGAAATGGCGACTGTGGTTTAATTCGAGTTTTGTTTATATAGAGACTTGTATCAAACAATTCGTTAACAGTTTCTCCTGTATTAGATGTTAGGTCGAGGGAACGTTCGATGGCCAAGCACATATCGCATTTGAAGTCTTCAACCTTTTCTTTGGAACTTTCGAATCCGGGTATGCAAGTCGGATTATGAGCACCAAATGAACCACAAAGCTTGCATAGGCTCAAAAACCACTTGCGTCCTTCTATGTATTCTACGTATTCGCGCCCTCTAGGACATTTGCATTTTTTCATGTCACAACGATTGTAACCGCAATGCAAATCTTTGTAGGCATTCGGCTCAAGCTCCCACTTTGCATCACGATCCGGCACAAATATGCCCTGCAGCTTTACCGCATCTCGAAATTCCCCGTCCTTACACCAAATGCATTTCAAATAGTAGCCAGCGCTTAAGGCGTATTTTTGCATGCATAAGTTGTGAACAAACCCATTTTTACAGCACTCCGCATAAATCCAATTTTTAGGATGATAATTGTACATACGCTTAGTGCAGATAAAACACACAGTATGATCGCCGGAACATTTGGAATTCATCAATTGTTGTTGGTAATCATTTAAAGGCAGACAAGCGTGGCAATATGAATTAAATTCTCCCACAAATTGAAATAAACATTCGTTAAGATGACCACAAGTTATATGAAAATATTCCTTGCATATTTTACAGCCTATTGTGGCGCTAGACTTTGAGCAATATTTGCATATTCGTTTAGTAGCCTCCGCAATTTCTCTACGTATATCACGAAATAGGAAACCCAAAATACCGGAGGCATCATTGCCGTTCTGAGGTATATTAGTGGATAACAATAGGCAGTAATAATGTATCGTTAAGTCTTTGCTGGTCATCCACTCGCCAAATATTAGTACATCATCACCTTCAATGCTGGAAGTTTGTTTACACATGCTGCACTGATTTTCCTTTTTCCAATGAGCCATGTTTCATATGATATATAAAACAATACTGTACAATCCTTTTAGCGATTCTGTTTTAATCTTAAAATCTCAACATAAATTGTCCGCGCAAAAGCATTGCCAATTGGAACATAAAGCATATGATAATAAATAATTTAGAATGCTGCCACATAAAATTTTTTTTTGCCTTTTAGACTTTCACGAGTTAAGCCGAAGATGTCAAAAGTAATCAGTAGATTTGTTGTAACAAACTTAACGTAACAATACTTTACATTTGCTCTTTATTTTACTTGTTTGTTTACATAAGAAACAATTGCAAAATCTTAAAAGACATATTCGGGACGCAAAAGTTTTATTGTGCATTCTGTTTTATTGTGCTTAGTCCAAGGCTGATTTTCAGATAAAAAAAATTGTCTGGCAGCACTAGTGTGTATGTATTACAATAGGATTGGTAGCATTGCTCTGGATAGGGTTATTATTTTTTTCATAAATGGAAATACGCTTCTGTAGTTTTGTAAAAAATATTTTTATTATATCAAAGAAAACCGGAAAAGAAAAGCATTTTTTACCACATAATCATATAAACGTTACGTTAAGAAAGAAATCCAGAAAAAGCAGCAATATAAATTAAACATTTTTTTCTGTACTGTTCGGCACGTGTTACGAACGAAAAAGGAGAAAAATTTGGAGGAAGTTAATAAAGTTGGCCTACATCATTGCTAGACGAGGAAAAAAATAATCTAATTAAAAAGGAAAATGGATAATATCGAACATTTGTATAAATGCTATGAAGTTTTGTCAGAAGCAGGTGATAGAATATCAGAGGTAACAGTGCAACTTTATTTTAGTTTCTGTTTGGTTTTATTATAATTCAATAACATATATTTCAGCATGTTAAAGAATATAAAGATATAATAGAGGCAGTCAAAGGTTCTTCAAAAGAGAAACGCCTAGCCTCTCAATTTATTGGAAAGTTCTTCAAGTATTTTCCCGATTTGGCTGAAACTGCTATAGACGCTCAACTAGATTTATGTGAAGATGATGATATGCAGGTAAATTTTTAATCACTTAAATTATCGGAATTATGCTCATTGCACGTGCTCCTATTCATTTTTGTTTAGATACGTCGACAAGCTATAAAGGATTTGCCGAAACTTTGTCAAGACACCGTGGGTATAACTTCCAAAGTTGGTGACACCCTAGCTCAGTTATTGCTTTTGGAAGACCCCTTAGAATTGCAGCAAGTGAATAACTCTTTGCAGACAATTATTAAGGTAAAGAACCCTTCTTGAGCAATATTCGCAATTTAACAAAGTATAGAAAAGTTTTTTAAAATAAGCTGGAATAGTTTTAGTAAGGAATACTCCTATACTCATATTGCTGTTCATATTTTTTCAAATATCTCTGCTGTTCGTGGTAAGCATTTAAGGAAAGCCTAACTACATTATTTTGTTTTCTCCGAGTTGCTTTAAGTATTGTATATGTCTACCCTTAGGCAGACAGTTTTGGTTTGGTTTGCAGATTTGGGCCTTCATTTTTGTTAGACACATGTACTTTGTGAAAAGTATCTGGCATAAAAGACTATAAGACGTTCTAGGTTAAGAATACAAAACCACTAAAATGTTTTGTTAATAATTTTTTTGTGATTGATTTAATTGTAGATGGACGCTAAAGGCGCTTTGTCTGGTATTTTCATACAAATTTCCAGTGGAGATGAAACAACGCGTGAGCGCTGTTTTAAATTTATTGCTACTAAGCTTTTTGCAATGGGACCTACAGTAATAACGAAAGAGGTTGAAGAATTTATTATCGATGAAATCAAAAAAATTTTACAGGTAAGTTATCGGTATTCAAAATTTTAAGTAAATATATTATATTATTGGCCGACATTAAGAGAAAAATCGATATGGATTTTTCTGTGGGTGGTTGAATGGTGTTACAACCTTGAATTAAGAGTTTGGTTGGCTTATACGTTACAAAAAAAAAACAGCAATAAATGGCTTGTTTGTGACACTGGCAAAAAAATTCAAGGATAAGCAATAATCTAAATCAGAGAGGCGCTGGACGCGGGAGCCGGTGAGGATGAATAAAGTTATATATTGTCAAAAAAAATATATTCTCTTATTTATCCCTGAAAATTATGTACCAATGTGTTAGTGTTAAGAAATTCGCCACAACACGAACCTGATGTTTTTGTTTATGATTTTTTGCAGGATGTCACAGCAGACGAATTTCATTTGTGTATGAATATCTTGGGATCCACAAAATTGGGCAACACCATTATTGGACACGCTGAATTAGTTGCTTTAGCTAAAGAACAGGCCGAATTAAATGCACATATCGATGCTATTACCATTGAAGATGAGATAGTGGAGCGTTTTATACAATGTGCCACGCATGCCATACCGTACTTTTCGGTAAAGTTCTCATTTTCTACTTTTGAATGTTTATGAATAAAACTCAATAATTTTTTTACAGAATACTATAAAATCTACCGACTTTGTCGTATATGTTTGCGATAAATTATTGCCGCTTGGTACTTGGAATATGATAGCTACATCCGTGACACAGGATCAAGTTCAGTTGCGTTTGTTAAAAGTGTTTGCTGAAATGTGTACCTATTGCGACGTCCTAGACAATGCAACACAACGTTTAGATAATGTTTATCAAGTGTTAAGGGTACGTAGTATTTTAATATTTTTGTAAATTTTGTAAATACATTCTTTGGAGACGTCTTAAATTGCTTTTACGCGTGCTTTATTCGCTATTGAAATCTATTTATATTATATCTGGAGATAATAGAAATTTTGTTCTATTTGCTCACGTGAAATGAAATGCAAAGTCTGTTAAGGGAAAATTTAAAAAATAAATATCTTTCTACTCTTAAGGATGTTTGTTGTTATAGGCCGTGCTATTTTAATGCTCGGATGAATTAACACTGCTTGTCTGTTACACTTTTTGTATTCAATTTAATCGTAACTTAAATAGAGCGCAAATTTTATGCGAACTCTTTTATGTACATATTACGCGCCGCATGTTGCTAACGATTAAAGTCGACTTCGTAATTAATAATTATACATTTGTATAGAGTTTTTTTTTGTTGTGTTTTCTTATTTCTTGCAGGAATACATGCCATTGCCGCAATTGAGTGATGATGACGTAAGCAGTCCGCCACCATCATTCCAATTCTCTCATGCCGAATGTCTACTTTACGCTTTACACACATTGGGTAAAAAGCATTCGGATAATCTATCGTTTGTGCATGATACGGAAAAGTTAAAAGATTTCCGCTCTCGATTACAGTATTTAGCTAGAGGTACACAAGGGTAAGTGAAGAAATTAATTAATTTAAAAAACAAACTAAAAATATCTTTACAATAGTTACATTAAAAAGCTGGAGGAAGCAGTAAAAGGCAAAACTACTGAAGAATTAAAATCCGAAGAAAATCAATTGAAATTAACTGCGTTAAAAACTACGTCGAATATCAGCACTTTAATACGTGATCTCTTCCATTCACCACCCAGTTTCAGGCATGACGTACAATTGTCGTGGGTAACACGCAAAAATGTACTCGAGTATTTGATAGTACTTTCACAGTATTTAATAAAGCAATTTATATTCTCGTTTCATAGAATAAAATTGGTAAACGTCACGCAATCATAACATATGATGGTAAAAGTGAAAATGGCAGAGATGATGAAAAAAAATCCCGGAATTCTTTAGAACAGAAAATCTACTCACCACCGTCGGGGAAATATTCTGCTAAAGTGCAAAACTATGGCAGCGCTAGTGGCAATAATCGAGCGCGTTCACGCAACAATTCTGGAGGTGGTGGCTATCAGAAAAATCGGCGCAATTTTAAGAAATATTGAAAAACAAAAGACGTCAACTCAACATTCTACTCAAATTTAATTACATCTTCGAAGCATCCTTAAAATTATGTGAAGCAATTTTTGCAAGACAATGGTTCAGTCGCAGAACTCCTTTCATCTAAACAAGGTAAGTTTGAGATTGATTCTTAATAATGGTCTTTTTGTTCATTTTCAGCTGAAAGAAAAAAATTACTTCGTTCCAACACCCGTTCGTATTTATTTTTTTGAAATTAATAAAAAAAAAAAAAAATTATCAAGTACTCATACTTTCCCTATATCATCATCCCATATATTTCAATCACTCCTAACCAACTTTTTCATTTCATGCTAAAACTGTACCTTTTCCATTAATTTCTGTGCTTTCGTTCTCATGTTTTCATGTTTTGGTTGTAAAAGCAATTGTGAAAAGCTTTTTTTATACAAATATTCAAATTTTTATTTCATTTTGTTTTGCAATTAAAACATTTGAAAAATGTTATGATATATATTAAATGAGTATTGTAGAAATGAATTCAAGCAACACGAAAGGGTAAGGCCCGAAACAAATATTTTATTAAAACTTCTTACAAAACGTTTTGCTTTCATATTTATTTCTTATTATTACAATTTTTACAATTTCTTTGTAACCTTTTGTGTTAAAACGTTTTGTTTGAAGTTTTACATATATATTTTTTTTTTTTTTTTGTTTTTCTTTAATTAAAGGCAACAATTTTTGTCTATTTTTATCTTCCCACCTTAACATAAAAACATCTATACTCACAAACACATCTACGCCCATACAGATACACAAAGTGGCATTCTTCAATTATCACATCCATTATTTGTAACGTTTTTAAGTAAAATAAAATTATGAATAAACGAAATAAAGAAATTGCATCGACTTTGGTCCCAAAGAAATGTTTTTTCATTATTATTGTTTACGATTCCTTTAAGTCTTTTTTCGATTGTATCTAACTGTATTGAGATTTTATTTTATTGTAAAAGCTTTCTCACAAACAATATATATTTATTTTTTAAACATGTTACTAAAATATATCTTTTCGAAATGGAATCTGAACTTTATTGAAAGAATGTAATGAAAAAGTGTTTAATGTTAGTTAGGACAAGTAAAAACATTATGATGGGTCACGGCCGTTAAAAGCCTTACCTCATTTTACAGCACCTCTTATAACGATTCTTCGAAACAAGGCGTCATATGCGAGGTGATTGAAAAGGTGATCTGGTCCAAACGTTGGTCTTGTGCCAAAACATGTCAGTGGACCAATTTTTATTAAACTATTCATTATAATTGCGATTTGTAGACTGAACACAAAAAAACAAAGTGGACAGGCAAGCTTACGTCAATTCCGGAAATAATCCCTACCGGTGCAATAAAGGCGAGGTAATCTTAAGTCATTCTGGGTGTTGCAAACCTAACGCACTCTTATATCATAAGTTGTGTAGGGTACAAAAATTACAGAAAAGTATCGTAAGCAAGGATTTTGCAAAAATTATAAAAGTATACGCGAAGCTGCATCCGAAATGTAAGGATTTCTTGTATACTTAGCAGAGAAGGATGGCGGTATTTTACTTGACATTTGAAGCGTCAGAAATTCGCTCGCTCGCTTCGCAAGAAGCATTCTTCGCTTTATCTTTCATTTTCCCGTTATGGAAAGTCTCACGAGCGCAAAGACGGCGATAGCTTCGCGACCCTATTCACACATATGCTTGCGTATATATGCTTGCAAGAAGAACACCAAAACAAGTCCAGCTATGTTGGTGGAAGAAAAGGCCAACAATCGAAAGACCAAAGAAAGTGCATAGGATTTTATGACAAACGATCGGAGCAATTCTTTGACGGCTTCTGTTGTGTACAATTTCAGCAACAAATTAATTTTGGCTGTTGTGGCTGAATTATATTTTTTCTCTAATCCAGATCAAAAGAATTTCTTTGGAACTATGCAAATTGCTTTTTAGAATATATATGTATATATGTATATATATATCTATATATATATGTATATTTAGGTGAGGGTATAGTGAAGAAATAAATGACAGAGGAAGGAAAATAAAAAAAAAATATAGAAAAAAATTTGCTTCAAAATTTACCAAAGTGGTACAGTCATCGGTACTTCTAAAAATCGTATAGTCATGGTCATGGTGAGGTAGACGAGAAAGCAAAGTTTTTTAGAAAGGCCAGCAATCTCAACAAAATCCTAGAGCTTGTACTTGTCAACCGTCGACTGACTCGAAAAAATAGAAACCATATTGAAGGACGATTTGAAGCTTAGAGGTTTACAAACACAACCAAGCATGCTTTTAATTCATTCCTCTCTAGATCGAGATTGCATTGAATTCTTGTAAAACGTGGCATTATGAGTGGAATGGTCGCAAAACCAATTCGGTCCGATCTATTTCGTATATTGTAGAACTGATTGAAAGACGTTGGTATACCAGACAAAATTCAGGCGATACGTTCACTTGAATTCTGTATGCTGAGCGTTACATACGTGCGCACAGCACATATAATTGTAAATAAAACACATTTTTGTTTACTTTTACATCAAGAAAAAGGATTTTTTATTTTTTTTTATTTTTTTATTTTTTATTTTCAATGATTTTACACATATGTACGTGTTTGTATGAATATTGTAAAATTAACAAAGACAGTTTAAATAGGATTTAGAGAAGATCAGAAATATGCATACATACATACATATATATATATATATATATATATATATATAAGAACATACATACATAAATGATTTTAGTTGTATAAAATTACCGGAAAATTAATAATATTTTAACAAAAAAAAAAAAAAAAAAAAGGATCTTAAAGTTAAAAGCAAATTTAATTCATAATTTAAATATTTTCGATTAACCGTATTACGTACGGGTACCATCAGCAGTCCTGTTTCATTTTCATCAAATTTTGATAGCTAAGTCTAAATCTAAAAAGTATTGAGACGCACAAAAAGTCAAAATTTCCAAATCCATATTAAATGTGTCAAAATATATGTGCATATATATATTGCACATATTTTCATATATATAATTGCGCTCAATAGTTTTTAGAATTTTTTTTATGGATTTTCTTTAGGGATATGATTGAGTTAGGTTTAAACGTTCTTATTTACGATATATATATATATATATTTTTTTTTTTGGTTTTTCTTTTTCTTTTTTTGTCTTGCAGAAAGCCAAATTGATTCGGTTTAATATCGTTAGATAAGAAAATTTTTTATTTGAACAATAAATAATTCACATGTAAATAGATTTTTGCGCTTTTCCGTTTTTTCGTTAACACATCGAACGAGTGCAATGAAATTTAATGTAAATTTATTAAATTCAATCTGATTATACTTTTATTTCTTAAATTTATATTTATTTATTTATTTATTTCTTTTTTATATATATATATTTTTTTTTGTTTTTGTTTGTCTACTCTCCGTCATCGCTTCGCCAATTTCGCATATTATTGGATATTTTCCTAATTTATTAAAATAAATAAAAAAATTTTTATAAAAAAATATTTTTATGCATTATGTTTGTTTTTTCCCTTTTTTTTGTTTTTTTTTTTTGTTTTTTTCCTTATTAAAAAACTATCTGCCTGAAATAAAGCTTTCTTCCTTTCATTTTATTTGTATTTTCGTTACATACTTTACTTTGCTTTGTAATTATAAATCAGTTACAATTTCAGTTACACTGGTTAAGGTACATTGTCATTATCATTATTTCATGTTGTTACGTTTACTTAGTATTTTTACATTAAATGTTTTCTTTTTGCATTTTCTTTTTCTTTTTTTGCATTAAAAATAAAATTATATGTGAAATGCGAAGAATTACATATGTAGGTCATTTATTAAATAGATTTTTTAATATAAGTATTCTTTAATTTGAAAGTAAAAAGAGGAAAAAAGCTAAAAAATGATGAAAAAGAATTAACGAAGCCTTGAGGCGTGTCTTGCATACCCATCAACCAATCCCGCTTTTCTTTCTTTAAATTTATAATCGTGTGTTTCGTACCCATGGCGTATAGTATACATTAGAGGTAAATTTTAGATTAATATTTCGTATAGGTCTTAATTATTGAAACTTTTTTTCATACTCTACACCATTTGTGGTACAAGTGTGTAATAATTGTGTGCGGTTGTTTGCACAACACAGAAGAACTTAGGATAGACTCACCTTTTATTATGCCGATCGATTCAGCGTCATTTTATGAACCGATCTAAGCTTGCCTGTCCGTCCGCCTGTCTTGTTGCGCTCAATTTACGGATTGCAATATTTGAGATATTTTGATGAATTTTGATGCTATGACATGTTTTGGCCAGAGAGCGAAAGTTATTGAATATGGTTTGGATCGCTGTATCTTTTCGACCACTCCTCACATAACGAACTTGTCTGAAAAGTCAGTATATAGGGACAAAATTGCAAATTTTCAAAATATATCAGCAAAAGCGGGTAGGTTGTAGTATTTGGGTATTCTAAATTGTATGATGAGTGGTCGAAAAAGTGCACCAATCCGAACTATTTTCAATAGCGTTCGTCCTTGGGTGAAAAACACGTCGCTGCAACAAATTTCATCGATATATCGCAAAAATGGCGATTTCTAGCTTGAACAAAACTTACATGGAGTGACATCAGACGGATAGATGGATAAACAGATAGACAGACGGGCTTAGATCAGTTCAGATTATGATTCTGAATCGACTGGTATAATAAAAGGTGGATCTATCTTAAGCCATTCTGCGTGTTTTATACGACCGCTCTAACTTAATATACCCTGTACCACAAGTGGTGTAGATTATAATTAACTATGCTGAATTTTGAATACGTAACACAATTTCTGAACTTCTTAGGCCCAATTATTCTGACGGAAAGTAAGCCTTTATTTGCAAAGAGGTTTAATTTTTAATATATGGTCCCATAATAGTAAGTTCCCATAAAAACACGGTATAATTTGTGTGTCAAATAATGTGGCGTGGGGGTAGTTAATAGTCGGCTTAATCCAACTATAATCTTTTCATTTGTTTTTTGGTAATAATACGTCATCGAAATGAACATTTCTTGAGAATGTTTTCTATTACGAAAATTGTCAAAAATCATTATCGAAAATTTTTGTACCGAACGGGTTAAGAGATTGCAAAAATATTTCCATAAATAATAAAATAATTGCTGAAAGTGAGGAAAACATATAATTAACACATATTATCTATCCATCAGAAAGGATATTTTAAGTTTATTAAACGGAATATGTGGAAATGAACCGAACTTTCTGTCCTGTCTCTTAAGCGGATGTTTATAAGTTGAAAGCTTTACCTTTATCAAAAAAAAAAAACGACTTGATCTTATTTTTGATTGTCACCAATTAAGGCAGAAGAAAACGGAAAATCCTTTAATTAATGTTTGCATTCTTTGAGTATGTTATGTTAAACATATTTCGTATAGTATTGCGATAAGTGAGCTTAACGTCTGCCACTGGAGGCGAATTTAAATGCGTCTAAAGCACTTATATTTATCTTACAGTTACACAGTATAGTGATTTCGCTTACCGAAAAAGTTAAGTATATTGTCACATGTTTCATAGGTTCGTGGCGGTATTGGTTGTGATACAAGCTTGATGTAGATGTGCAGGTTGCATTAATTTCATCTTATGTAAATAAATCGGTCGAAAATGGCTCAATTCGATCTCCGCCTTAGTTCAAGGAA